AAAAAACAGGCCTGTGGCTCTTAATTTATTTTTATTAATTCACCATTTGTAAACTGATGTTTACTGTTAATTTTTTTTAGAAATATCAATAGCATTTGTATTAAAACTATATTCACTGAATGTAATAAAAAATTTGAGAATCGAATTGGGACTTCTGAATCGATACCCAGCCCAAATGATAATGTTCAGTATGAAAAATTAATGCTTTAGATTACATTTTAAATAGTATTCAATGATTTTGCTAAACTTTAAGATAGCATTAGATGACAGCAAAGGTAATCAAATTGTAAAAACAGGGAAAAGTAATCATTTAAATATTTAATATTGATAAATAGTCATAAATCACAAATATTAGCCAATAACCTATATAGTGTGAATCCCTAGAAAAGTCTCTTTAGTTAGAGGAAGCACACGAGCCATTATCATAGAGACTTGTAAGGCTGTCTTAGGGATTTTTTTTTTCTTCTAAAAAGACTTTCAGACTTCATTAATTCCCTGAAATATGATGAAATGGATTCTCGGTGCATGAGTGCAAGTGAGCTGTATTTAATCAGCAATCACAAGTCCCAGCGGGAGAGCTGCGAATCAGGACGAAAATGATTACTGCTGATTGACTCTTGCAGCAGCGACTTTCAGACTTCATTAATTCCCTGAAATATGATGAAATGGATTCTCGGTGCATGAGTGCAAGTGAGCTGTATTTAATCAGCAATCACAAGTCCCAGCGGGAGAGCTGCGAATCAGGACGAAAATGATTACTGCTGATTGACTCTTGCAGCAGCCTCTGATTGCTGAGCTCTGTTGGGAATGAAAATGCAAAATGCCATTTTAAAAGTCGAGAAGGATTCGCCATCATCTCCATTCAGAGTTTCCATTTTAGCATTTCTGCGTGAATGTTTTCTCCAGGGTCAGCGCGAACAGCATTGCAACTTCGCAAGCAAACTTAAGTGTTGTAACAATGCCACTTGACCGTAATCAAAGCCTGGTAATTGCTGTGATTTGCGGTGGCGGCGTGACCTCTGCCTCTTCATCTGTAGGGGTAATTCAGCGCAGTGACTTCACCTCTGATCTGACATCTGAGTGCTGAGTCAGTCAACATTCTGCATGAAAGGACTCTTGGGAGTAATTGTACAATAAGGACTCTTTGCATCGGTAATGAGGTCAAACTTTATAATTGCGCCAGCTTCATTTAAATGGGTTTTGTCCATTTGTCTCACTGCCTGCACTGCAGTAATATGAGCACTTTGAATAAAATGCTGCCATCAGAAGTGCTTGATCTCTTTGTTTTTTTATCTTTAAAGATTAAGGCCCTGTCCACACGTAGTTTAGCTGTATACGCATACATTTTGGATCGTATAGGCGTTTCGTCCGGATGGATCCGGCATTTTGGGAGAGTGAAAATCGGGTCCCAGAGTGGATAAATCTGAAAACTATATTTTCTGAAACGATGACGTCATCAGCCCACGTCTCGCCCCTAGTCAGACACCGCTGCGTCACGTAACGGCAACAAAAACACTGAACGATTGTCTTTTTATTAACTAACATTAACACAGATTAATAAATGTATTGTTCCATGTTCGTTTGTATACCGCGCGCAAGGTTTATGTGCATAGTCCAAGTCGTCTTCTCCTTTTTTAGTGTATCTCTGTGGCAGAATTACAGCGCCACATACTGGTCTGGCATGTATACTACATCGTTTTGTGTCGGTTTCGTGTGGACTCAGATATTTCTTGAGACGAGGAGAGAAAAGAGATCGGATAGGGAAAGCTCTGGCTTCGTGTGGACGTAGCCTAAGATTAGGGTTCTTGCGATTAGTTGATTTATACGAGTATTCGTCAGATTGTTTAATCAAGATGTTCCTCTCCATTCCTCTTTCTTCAGGAAGCATGTGCAGAACTGAACACCAGAAGCATCCCAGACCAGATACTCTGCTGGATGTGGTTAGTTTTTGTTTGGAAGGGTTCTTGTGTTCAAATTGCGTCCGAGGATCAGGCCTGAGGTACTGGGTTGAGACAGACGGCCTCATATGGCTTAATGTATACATTTTTTATTTTGTTTTTTATTAAGACTGTCTTATACATTCCCTTCCTCAGCACTCTTTCACTGGCTGTGACGTTAAAATGTCATGCTGAGTCTTTGAGTGTGTGTTTGACAGCCTGACAGCGGTCGTCCAGTCAGGCATATGCAGAGGCTGACACTAGCATGCATACTGGTGTCTTTGTGAAAGCGGACGCTGGGATGAAAAGAAGCCTTGTTGTAGCGCACATCAACGTCTGTGGTGGTGTAGCGTGCCCTGACCCTTTGTGAAGTCGTGGATGGCAGTGTTAATAACAGCACATGGGTTATAATATGAGCGACTGGCCTCTATTTGCATGATTTCAGAGCTATTTCCTGCTTACATTTCACCATTTTCTGAATCTAAATTTTCATTGGCTTCGGCAAGCATCACTTTTATTATTGCCCATGCTTAGGGTTAACCCCAAGCATTAAACTTCAGCGATCAACTTTAGCTTTTTTTATATTTATTTATTTTTTTTATTTGATATAATTTTTTGTTTATTGAATTTTATTTTTGTGTTATTATTTTAATTTAATACTGATTATACTTGGGGTTAACCCTAAATATTAAACTTCAGTATTTGTTTTGTTTTATTTTTTATTTAAATTGTGTTTTTGTTTAGATTTATTAGATTTAGATTATTTTATATGATATATTATGTTTTATTTGTTTCTTTACATTGATATTTTAGTTTTTATATTTAGTACAATGGGTTGTTCATAAGAAATTGACATAGTATTTAGCGGTTTAATCTTTCTGAATTGATCGCTGTTTTTTGGATGGGCCACACACAACATTAATCCACACATTCAGATAATCTACTGCCTGCATGCATCGCAGTCCTCTCCGGATTGCATTGCTGTTTCTCCTGTCTCTGTCAGTCTATGAAAACTTTAGCCTTGACCCTCATGACGTCAAATTGACTGCAAATGCATCATTTCCTTCAGCGCTCTTATTCCAAACCATTGCTTCATTGATATTGACTCAAGTAGAGGTGGTTGCACTGTGTTGTGGGTATCCTGATGTGTCTTCTCATCTCGGACTGTGAAGCAGCGGCTGTTGGTTGGAGCAGAAGGCCACGACAGCTGTGGATGAGATTATCTCTGCCACACAAAATGAAAGCGCCAATACTGTTGTGCCATAGTCTGATTAAAAGCGGGGGTGAGCACTGGGGGCTGTTGACACAGCACTGACTTGACAATGGATAGAGATTGTGTTTGTAAGTGAGAGAGAAAGTGTAGGCCATCACAAGCCTGTGTAGCGAACAGGCAGTCACAAGAACACTCTTGTGTCCACTGATAAAACTGCCAACAAAGCAAATCGTTCTCTTTCTTTCTGATGAGATGTTTCAGGTTCAACTGTGTGTACTAGGTGAACATTTTTTATGGGTATTGAGAGTGACCGAGTTTGTCCATTTTATCTCTAAAAAAAGATATGAAGTCGGTGCTATGAAAGCACTGTTTATAATACAATTTTTGGCTAATTCTATTCCGAATTTGAAATGCGTTAATTGAAGTAATCTTAACCTACAGTTATGGAGTTTTATGTCACTTGAAACTTACTTTGGGATTTACTAGAATAGACCAGTTTTATATATAATGTTTATTTATATGAATATACTAGAAAAAAAAAAGATGAATTACCGCGAGACCAAAAACATCATAAGCCAACTGTTATGGATGGGCAGATCTTATTTAAATATATAATAAATAAAATTCACATTCACAGACGTGTCAATCAGTTCACATATTTGTGAAGAAAATAATTACTGGAAATTAAGAAAAAGTAAATTAGCTGGAGTGGCTGTGCAGCGCATCAGAAATAGAAAAGGCATGTTTATCAACTGAAGGCATCAAGATGTGCACGTCTGACGCTTGACATCTCCGCTGATTATAATTGCCACGATCTAATTTTGATCTGTCACAATGTAGGCGTAGTGTTGTTTCTGTGTGTGAGAAGTGCAAGTAATTATTAGCTCCCAGCATTGCTATTTGAAAAACACATGCATTTTGTTAAATGTCTTTGTTTTTTTTTTAGTGACATTAAGAACTTGATTGGGGGATAAACTGCTTACTTCTGCATTTGTTCCCATAGAAAATTGCACCTTGTGCAATATTGTGTGCAGATATTTGCAGTATTGTCAGTGAAATTATAAACTTTTGTGTACTTAATAATCAAAGCAATGTCTGTGAATAATCACACATGTGTAAATATCTTTTTTTAATGTCCAATTTGTAATATTGTTGCTATTCTGTCCAAAGTGTTCTGGAAACACGCTTTTAGGTTTTGGAACAAATACACTCAGTCTGAGGATAGTCGCCTTTGTGATGACAGAAAATGTCAAACAAAAGAGATCACATGCTTTTGCGTAGAAATGTTAAAGCAGCTTCTTGAAGCTTAATGGCAGTTATGCAAGAACACTTGTGTAGTTCCCGTGATGCACTTTTTAGGTTACTTTCATTTCCTCTCTACGATCATTCCCTCAGATGAGAGAATGAGGCCACTTCCCTGAAGCTTTGTTGGCTTGATGCTCTTGTTCACTCATAATCTTCCATCTTGTTCCATTTGCGACTGGTCCAGAAACTTCAGATTGATGTATTTTACTTGTGTGAATACACTCTGTTCTTGCTATTATATGAAATTAAGCTTTGCAGTATTGCAATACAACCATTTGTCCCTAGACCTTTACACAATCTTTCTTGATCTTGTGAACTTCTGCTCTTGGTATTGTTAATTTCAGACTGGCACTCGTCTAAGAGTAAAAACAGAATTTGCAGATGAGTTTGATGTTGCACATATCCGTTTGGATCTATCACATGAGTCTTTCCTGTCAATATATAATTTTCATTTTATTAGATGGAGTTTTAAATCTAAATTATTTTATATGCACGCCATATAAAAAAAACATTTCTATTCAATTTTGACTTGTGATTAGATTTTCACCCTCTGTGCCTTTTTTTTTTTTTTTTTTTTGGGGGGGGTGAAAATTTAGTCCCTTTTATATGTATTTAATTTTGCGCATTAAAGGGCTGTGAGACCTTTACACAATCTTTCTTGATCTTGTGAACTTCTGCTCTTGGTATTGTTAATTTCAGACTGGCACTCGTCTAAGAGTAAAAACAGAATTTGCAGATGAGTTTGATGTTGCACATATCCGTTTGGATCTATCACATGAGTCTTTCCTGTCAATATATAATTTTCATTTTATTAGATGGAGTTTTAAATCTAAATTATTTTATATGCACGCCATATAAAAAAAACATTTCTATTCAATTTTGACTTGTGATTAGATTTTCACCCTCTGTGCCTTTTTTTTTTGTTTGTTTTTGGTGGTGGCTGAAATTTCAGTCCTTTATATATGTATTAATTTATGCATTAAAGTAGGCTGTGGAGAATTACGGGAGGGATTTAAAAAAAAATGTTTAATTGTCATTAAAATGCAGAAAACCGTTATTTATTTTGATGTAATCCAATTGATATAATTTAAAAATAATTATCATAGGCTGTAGCATGACTTCTTTTGACCGGCTTCGTGAAAGTCACTCTAACATCATGCGTGAGAAATATGTTTGTTGCGCATGTGTTTGGGTATATGATCAGATCCAAACTTGATGCAGGCTCTCTAAATAAATAATTGATGGCCATCTGTAGCTTTCACTCCAGATTGAAGCTGCTGAGTGGATGGTGTCAATCTCATCGTTGTCTTTTGGGTTTAGCTGAGAGCTGTTAGCACCCTATTATGTTTTAAGTATGCATCAGGGAAGAGGAGTGCACAATGTTTCTCTTTGTGGGTTTGTTGCTGCACTGAAACTGTCCCGTGAACCGCCCAACACGTCGTCTTCTCGTCTTTTGCATGTGCACCCACTTAATTCCAGTTATGAACACGCCAAATTGTATGCATGAGTCAAAAAAGGACAATCATTGTTTGCAAAAATGGTAAGGAGTATGATGTTTTCTGGCAAAAATGACTTTTATTTTACATCTTGAAAGGTGATTTGAAATGATCTGACAATGTTTTAAACATTTGTTCTATCAAAGCTTGCATGTATGAAAACATCCATGAAAACTGGCATGTTTCTGAACAAATTACTTGCAGGTATAATTTGGCCTGCATTCAGACTGTTATACTAGTTGGAATGTTAAATGGCTGTATTTCTCATATATTCTTCACAAGCAAAATTATAAAGTAAAAGTGAACCACAAAGGTGCTAACCAGATGCTAAAACCACATATGGAAACCACCACCATCGTTTTCTATGATCATGTGTTGCCATATAGAGTGGAAATGGGCATCAGGTTGGACATTTTAGTGGTTGTTTCCACGTTTTAACTGTTCCTAACCCATTTTTGGTCAATGGTCCATCCCTTGTCGTCAGTCTTTCTCGTTCTGTCCTCTTCCTTTGGTTGTCTACCCATCAATCTTTGCAGCGGAAGGATGTTGCACGCTCTGCTTCCTCCAAACCGCAGTTTTGAGTCTGTTCCCTGGCAGATATTTGGTCCCCCCCACCTTCCCTCCCACATTTGACTGCTGTTGAAAAGGATGCAGAGAATATGAATGCAGGCACCATGCTTTCCTTTTGGGACAAATTGAAAGCTGATCTGTTTTGACAGTCTCAACATAATGTAAGGCTTAGGGATGCACAATATATCAGGACCTTACCAATTATCAGCTAAGATTGTAATATTTTATACTGATTTAATATTATTTCATTTGATGTAAATATATGTTAATTATTAAATATGTAGCAAATTAGCTCAAAAGGGAATTGTATCTAAATAATTACAATTAATTCAAATTATTTATCCGTTATAAAATTATATTATTTATACATTAGAGCATGTAACAAGATCGGATTGTAAAAGGGACATCAATTTTCAAGCACAATTTACTCTCACGCATACATACACAGGGGAGGTAAAGTGGATGAATGAAACCGTTAAGAGAAACCAGAGAATGCAGCTATGGAAAATGAGTCAGTTAACCACCTGAGTGAAACCCCATTTTACAACGGCGTCTACAACTTATCCTAAACCTCGGTTTCGTTTGGTTAAATGTATGATATCTGCCATTTGTCACTGCTTGCCATGGTAACACATAGATTGCTTTTTTTGGGTGAGGGGGTTTGCTGGATTATTCATTAAATATGAGGGTGTCTGATTGGTCCAAATGCTACAAATCAGTATCTTTCCATATTGGATGTCTGTCAGACAATATTTTTGGTTTTTAGATATTTTCTACAGAAAAAGGATGTGATTAATGAAAAAATGTATGTAATGTAATGTCAAAAATCAAATGTATCAATTATTATATTAATGGTTTAATATCAATTATTATTTTAAACCAGCAGAAAGGCTGTTAAACAATGCAAATTCATTCTCTGCCAGCAGGTGGCGCTTTCAGAACTACATAAAGATCGACTTTGAAACGTGCAGCGCTTATTAATCCAATTAAATCATAGCCTTTTTCATTTTAATCATCACATTAAGCTATCCTTAAATGCAGCATTTAAGTAAGATACTAATCAAATGAATTTTTTTTTTTTTAAATTCATATGAATAATAGATTCTACTGATTCTCATATTAGACTGCTGTACTAGAACTACATACTGCACAGATCAGTTACACATGCAATTTCTTTCCCAGATTTTTACATTCGATTGAGACAAAACCAACTGCGTTTATGTGAACCATGGGTGTTTTTGACAGTTGAAACAAATGCTAAAGAGTGTAGTTTAGCCCCCGCTGGGATGTGCGCGCTTGTAGCCTATACCAAATAGTTTCAACTGGCAAGGCGCACAGCCGCATCTCTCTTACACAGTTTAGAAGTGGTTGAAATTAAAATAAACGAGTGTACGTTGTGAGCGAACAATTTGTAGAGATCTGCCAGAAGCAGCAGCCACTATGAACAGCTGATTTGTACGGAAACATCTGATGGCCAAACTACATTGGAATTCGCAAATGGAAAAATCAATTGAGCCCGGGCCGATTTGTGTTCACAATGCACATTTTTAGCGAACCGTACCTTTAGCCGATAGCGAACCGTACTCAGACCACCTCCCGAGATGGTCTCGGTTCAGTTAGCTTCTGAGGTCGTTTGGAGTGTTCACACATGGGCCAAAAAGTCACATGAACCGTGCTCAGACCCCTGAAAAGGACCAAGTGTGAAAACACCCTAAGACAAGTTTGTACAAGATGTAATTGTAGTTCAAGCATCTTTTTTGCAAAGATATTTAACAAGTGATTTGTTTAACATTTACATCATGCTGACAACTTCATGTGTGGTGCACTTGGGATAGAATTTTTTTTTAACTACATTTTCAAGTTGAGGACCGGTCAAACGTTCTGAAAAAAATCGAGATTTTATTATGTTGCCATATCGCCCAGCCCTACTGGTTTTGTGTGTGTGTGTGTGTGTGTGTGTGTGCCTGGTTTTGTGTGTGTGTGTGTGTGTGTGTGTGTGTGTTTAGCTTGTTTTTTTTTTTTTTTAAAGCGTTTTTGCATTTAGATGACTTATTTTTCTTGGTGGATTTTTTTTTTTTTTCTCAGAATTTATATTTTCCAAAAGCATTGTTTATAGACATTAGTTTCTGATCTGTGGAAGTGAGTATGTAATACTTTTGCACCTTTAATCAGAGTGGTGGTTCTCTAAAACCTCAACTGAAAAAGCCTCAGTCCACATAAGCATTTAGCATCCAATCAGATTTCAACACCTCACCACACTTTATTTCCATTTTCACATGTAGTGATGCTAAAATAAGATAAATGACCAGAATGCAGGTGGTTAGTACTGGGTGTTAGCTTGACTACTCTTGCATTACACTTTCACACAGATGTCTGAACTCTCCAATGCTGGTCTGATGTTTAGCTTTTTTGATAGCGGGCTTGATTAAAATGACTCGTGTGCTTGTGATAATTCAGCAGGATCCTGTTATCTGTAACAGAATAATCCTGTATGCAAATTAAAGTATGATTCTATAATGTAAAATTACAGCAGGATAATAAGTCATGTTTAATCGATATTAATCGTCTTCTCTTTTATTGGCAGGTATTAAATGAAGAATGTGATCAGAACTGGTATAAGGCAGAACTAAATGGCAAAGACGGTTTCATTCCTAAAAACTACATCGAGATGAAGGCACATCTGTAAGTATAATGTGTATAACTTCCCTAATGTGGGAGAAACTCCTCTGGTGTGTGTTTTCCTTCATTGCAGACATCGGTTTTACGAATCTGCCAGTATATTTGAGGAGCTTGACTATAATCATGTTTCAAAATCTTTGAGCAGCAGGAGTGAGCGTCTCCAGTATCGCTCAAGAATTCAAACTGGCATCAGAAAGCCAGTCAAAGTGAAGAGACGGCGTTCGTTTATGGCATCGCTCGCAATGTACATCTGCATATTTATGTATCAGAATAGCTTAAAATAACACCCAGACCAGTGAATCAGTGTTTTGACCTGATTCCTGGAAACGAATTGAACTTCCAAACCCTGATCCTTTTTATATTCTGCCGTTCTGCCCTAGTGTCAGTTGCTAAATATACCAACAGCTTTGACAAATGGATATTGCACCGTTTGATGCTAAAATAAGATAAATGACCAGAATGCAGGTGGTTAGTACTGGGTGTTAGCTTGACTACTCTTGCATTACACTTTCACACAGATGTCTGAACTCTCCAATGCTGGTCTGATGTTTAGCTTTTTTGATAGCGGGCTTGATTAAAATGACTCGTGTGCTTGTGATAATTCAGCAGGATCCTGTTATCTGTAACAGAATAATCCTGTATGCAAATTAAAGTATGATTCTATAATGTACAATTACAGCAGGATAATAAGTCATGTTTAATCGATATTAATCGTCTTCTCTTTTATTGGCAGGTATTAAATGAAGAATGTGATCAGAACTGGTATAAGGCAGAACTAAATGGCAAAGACGGTTTCATTCCTAAAAACTACATCGAGATGAAGGCGCATCTGTAAGTATAATGTGTATAACTTCCCTAATGTGGGAGAAACTCCTCTGGTGTGTGTTTTCCTTCATTGACATCGGTTTTACGAATCTGCCAGTATATTTGAGGAGCTTGACTATAATCATGTTTCGAAATCTTTGAGCAGCAGGAGTGAGCGTCTCCAGTATCGCTCAAGAATTCAAACTGGCATCAGAAAGCAAAGTCAAAGTGAAGAGACGGCGTTCGTTTATGGCATCGCTCGCAATGTACATCTGCATATTTATGTATCAGAATAGCTTAAAATAACACCCAGACCAGTGAATCAGTGTTTTGACCTGATTCCTGGAAACGAATTGAACTCCCAAACCCTGATCCTTTTTATATTCTGCTGTTCTGCCCTAGTGTCAGTTGCTAAATATACCAACAGCTTTGACAAATGGATATTGCACTGTCTATATATCATATACTTGTAAATGAATTATTTTCCACAGTATTTACTCTTTACATTTTAATTCAGCAGCTGTATACAGATATATTGTAAATATATATGTAAACCATTGTCTAAATGTTTGGGGTCTCTTGTGCTCACCAAGGCTACATTTATTTGATAAGAAGTACAATAAACTTACAGTAATATTGTGAAATATTATTACAATTTCAAATAACTGGTTCTATTTTAATACATTTTAAAATGTAATTTATTCCTGTGATGCAAAGCTGAATTTTCAGAATCATTACTTCAGTTGTTAGTGTCACATGATTCTTCAGAAATCATTCTAATATGCTGATTTGCTGCTCAAGAAACATTTCTTATCAACAGTGTTTAAAACAGTTGTGCTGCTTAATATATATATATATATATATATATACACACACACACACACACACACAGTGGGTACGGAAAGTATTCAGACCCCCTTAAATTTTTCACTCTTTGTTATATTGCAGCCATTTGCTAAAATCATTTAAGTTAATTTTTTTTCCTCATTAATGTACACACAGCACCCCATATTGACAGAAAAACACAGAATTGTTGACATTTTTGCAGATTTATTAAAAAAGAAAAACTGAAATATCACATGGTCCTAAGTATTCAGACCCTTTTTTTTTAAATGGTGATATTTTTTTAGGATTCTTTAAAGAAAATAAAGTTCTAAAGAACAGCATTTATTTGGAATAGAAATCTTTTATAACATTAAAAATGTCTTTATTGTGACTTCACAACTTAATGCATCTTTGCTGAATAAAAGTATTAATAATAATAATAATAATAACAGAAAAATCTTACAGTGCCCAAACTTTTGAATGGTAGTATATAAAAAAACAAGTAAAAACCAATTAAAATGAGTGCAATATTTTTACTATATGGTTGATAATATATTTGCTTTCACAGCAGACCAAGTGTACTTTCTACTCTGTCAGCCTTGAGGCTGTCGTGTGAGCTCTAATCTGAACATTTCAATGATTACTTCTGGTCTCAGGTTCTCAGGTCTGTTTACTTTTCCTAATCCCTCCTTGTGCATTTTACAGAATCTCTTATTTTTTTATCAATTTTAACTTCCTGATCATTTTCGTGGGAACGCTGTGTTGCCCTTTCGATACCAGACAGCTTGTTTGAGCTCGAAGTGTTTGTACATGTAGATGGTTTGGTTTGTTCCTCCCGCTCTCTTCCTCATTGGTCTCAGTGCGAGCGAGTTTCATTATTGTCCTGTGTACAGTAGCAAAGGCGTAAGGACAAATGAATGAATGAATAATTGACTAATATTTGCTTGAGAGAGAATTGAAACCCATGTAATGACACGCAATGAAGCTCGGGAACATGGTCCACCATTCAAAGTCCCTTTTCTAAAATCAAAATAAGTGTTGCTTAAAGGCACAATATGCACGATTTTTGTAATAAAATATCCAAAAACCACTTGCACAGTGTGATATATTTCATGCAGTTGTGTTCTTACGTTATCCCAAAAGTTCCCAAGGGTTTGTAAATCCAGAGAAATTCCATTTTTAAATAATGGTGATTCTTTTTACTCGTTTTTACAGTGTTGCGCATTATAACCAATCAACATGTATGTTGAGCTTATTAATGAAATGACCAATCAAGAGGCGTTCAGATGAGTCATCGCTGAAACGCCAGAGTTTTGTTCAGTGTGCGCGCTCGCTGAGTGAATTCTCTCATCATTTTTAAGTGACGTGACATGTGGCCAAGTATGGTTACCCATACTAGGAATTAGTGCTCTGCATTTAACCCATCCTAAGTGCACACACACAGCAGTGAACACACACCCGGAGCAGTGGGCAGCCATTTATGCTGCGGCGCCCGGGGAGCAGTTGGGGGTTCGGTGCCTTGCTCAAGGGCACCTCAGTCGTGGTATTGAAGGTGGGAGAGCGCTGTACATTCACTCCCCCCACCTACAATTCCTGCCGGACCTGAGACTCGAATTTGCAACCTTTGGGTTACGAGTCCGACTCTCTAGCAATTAGGCCACGACTTCCCCCCCATAAACAACAGAGTGAAGATGTACGCACAGGGCCTAAAATTAACACTCGCCAAGCGCCAAATGTGAGTAAAAATCAGCGTTGGCGAGTCCATGTAACAGTGTCAGTCGCCAGTTGGCAGGTACAACTTTTACGAATTATAACAATGCGATCTAGTGGGAACAACAGCCCGTTTTTTTAAAGAGATTAGCTGTTTCTGAAGACCATATCATCATGATGACGAGCAAATCGAATAGATACAAACGGACTGATAAGGTCAGAGCAGTGTGATGGCCAGCTTGTCCCTAGACACGGTTCTAATAACTTTTACCTGAGAAGATTTTGCTGCTTCATTTCGGAAGATTAACTTTTCCCTTCTTTATTCTTCATAACCCGAGAATTCGGCGACACACACCTGGGGTTACGCTGCCAAAACGGTGCAGTGAAGTATAGTTTGAAAGGCTGCACGTTCGGATACACATACGCTGAGCCGCTTCAGACAGCTCACCAGTAACGCTTCAACGCACGAAAACACACACAATTATGTCAAAATGCGCGGTTTTGGCGAGTTACCTTGTAAACGGAGTCTTAAATAAATTATAAATGACCGTAAAGAGTTGGGAGAAAATCAGATATGTGTCAGAACCGCGTCATATGCGTCAGGGTTTTAAAGAGACAGCACTGATTTTAAAGTAAAACCTGCTGAAGTCTGTCATTGATGTATATCAAAGAACAAAAGAAAAAGAGAAATCCTTGGACTGTT